GCTGGCCTTGCAGCTCCACTGCCGAGCCCCATGAGGGGCCCGGCGGTGGACCTGCAAGGCCGGCGGGAGTGCAAGGAAGCCCCGCGAAGGCCCTCCCTGGCCCCAGGCAGGCAGGGGTGGGGAGAGGCAGGGAGGAAGCAACTTACCCTCCCTCTTCTCCTGCCTCCTCCTGGCTGAATGAGGGCCAGAAGCGGGGCGGCCGGAAGCAGGGGGCGGGGCTTCGTCATGTGCCCCGCCCCCCTGCACCTCACCCGGGGGAACTGCGATCCCCCGCGATACCCCCCCGAAATGACCTCTGCCTGTTCCACTGAGGAACCACTCTAACTGTCAGGAAGTTCTTCGGAATGTTTAGCCGGAAACTGTTCTGGTTTAATTTCAGCCCACTGGTTCTGGTCCGACCTTCTGGGGCAACAGAAAACAACTCTGCGCCCTCCTCCACGTGACAGCCCTTCAAGGACTTGGAGATGGTTCTCAGCGGCAAAGGTGAGAGGCCAACCCTTGTGCTCCTGAGGACAAGCTATGGTGCTCACGGCTTCAGCAGCTGGGACTTGTGGTTGCCTAGGAAATGTGTATCCGATAACCACTCTCCACCCGGCAAGATAAATTATAGGGTGGCACCGGGGATGGTGGTTTTTTCACCTGCGTGTCTCTTCCCCCCCCCCAAGCCTCCGTCCTCATCGCACTGCGTGATCCGGGTAGCGATTTCTTTCAGCTCTTTCATCGATTTCTCATCCTGGAAGTCGTAGGGGAACGTTTCGGTCCATTCCTTGAGGAGCTGGATGATCTTGGCAGCGAAGGACTTGAGCTTGGCCTAGGAAAGAACACAGAGCGGTTAATCGGGGCCCCGGAGACCTTTCCCGGAAGTCCGCGTTCTCTGGGAAACCTCACAGCACTTCGAATACCCCCCCTTGCAGGTTTCTGAATCAACGAGTTAGAAGTTGTTGCGCCGGGCTACAGCCTCGGAGGGCCTCGCAGACAGGGTTTCAGCGATTATAGCCCATTGAAGAACATAGCTGTAAGCATAGCTCTATGATGAACGGAATCAACAGTATATTTTCAATACGTCACCAAGAGAAATGAATTGTTGAAAGATACAGTTTATGTCAGGGGTCATTTTGTAGAAAAAGAACTAGGGGAACACATTACCATAACTCATTAGCATATGCCACACCCCCTGACATCAGGGGCCCGGCGGTGGACCTGCAAGGCCGGCGGGAGTGCGAGGAAGCCCCGCC